TCCGTTCGTAAGACGGCGGACGAATTGACAGATCTCCAACCAATAGAAACACTTTCGTATCATCGTACCATCGTATAAACGGATGCATGGGACACATGCTTAAGGCGCGTACTCTGTGCTCGGATTAATCCCAAATGTATTTAATTTATTATTTACTGCGTTAGTTAGATTGCTGTTATTCAGCCTTAATGCTAGCAACTCGATTCGTCTATTTCCCATTTGCTCGTTTACCTAAAGGACTTTCTTTATCCGGTATGGTAATTTCATAGTCGTCTTCTTTCACCTCTTTCGGCTCTTTTGTTGCTACCTTGCGCAATTGAACGTTGGCTGCAAATGGCAGATAAGCGCGTTAACGTGTAAATCACAAATTATATCGACATGTAGATGCAGACAAGAAGCAATAGAGTAATCAACGGGTTTGAGGCGTTGGCGTGTTACCTATGGGGTTTCCATCCCCCGAATCTGATGGGGGGCTTTCGCGTTTCCTGGGAACGCTCTTGAGGTTGAAGGGGTTGAGAGCATCGGTCACCTCGCTGCCCTCCTTGACCCACGGGGGGCGAAAGGTCGTTCTGCCCGAAGGGTTGCTCGCTTTTGCTGTGTTGCCTGCCGGCATCTCGACTAGTCTTTGCTAGCTGAAATACATCGTTAAATTGGTCAGAAACAGATTAATGTAGTCAGCAAGTAGCATTCCTTCAGCCAACACATTGCCGGTTGCGTTTACTTTTCAGCGCCTAAAATAGATCGGGAATAACACTTTGCGCGCTCTGTATTGTAAACATGGGTGAAGACCAGTTTTTGGCGTTTGATGAAAATTCGAAAATACTGGCTCGGCTCTCGATCGCCTACTTAGAAACGGATCGAAACGATTTACATAAAGTTGAGTTGTAATCGTCCGAAATACGCCCGTTTTATTCTAGCTTTAGATAGATAGTACGAATATTGACTGGACATTTTATTGGCAACTTTACAGCGACACATGCGGCTGCGGGGGACGGTGAGCGATCGTAAATATTATGAAAAAATTAACGCCTTAATGTTCCAAATATACACATTTTTATTAATCGGTTGTGCAATTACCATCAAGGGCGCAAAGAAAAGCGCGATTTGGGGCCGCAAAGCAAAGAGTTACTTAGGCAGCATTGTTTAGGGCTCAGCCTGTGGATGCAGTGCATTTTGCAAATAACTCAGTAAAAAAAGTGATTTTGCTCACTATTCGATGATTGTTTTGTGTGAGTGTCTGAGTTATTCAGGGGAGTCGAATGGTGTAAATGCGGCCAGTTACTTTGTCTTGTTGTCTCCTGAGTTGAGTGAAAAGACATCTGTTGAAACATTTCCTTAGTAGCTGGTTCCGTCCAAATGTTTTATTTTTATGGCTGGCACGGGAGCCAACTTTGCAGCACTCTGCCACAATATGCGATACACTGTAGAGCATCTGACGACTTTCAAAACCCATTATATTCCCTGGTGACGCATTGATTGCTCGCTTTGTTTTCGAGGTGGGAGCAGGAAGTAAACAAGGAATTTCTGAGTCTAAGTTTTCCAACTTCTTGCCCCAGATTTTCATGATTCTTCAATCTCGGCCTCGGCCAGATTAATCGAGCGCCTGTTTGGGCAGCGGGAAACTTTCAATTTTCCGATAAAATTAGCGGAGAATAAACGGACAACAAAAATAGAAACGTATGGCAGGAAGTTGGGCATAATTCGCCCGTTTTCCTACAAGTCTGTTTAGATTTTCAGTGTTTATGCATGCGGGAGAGTGGAGATCTGCGAAAAGCCGTCACATCAGGGTGAAACCCTKSTGAATGAAGAAATSCTGTGGSTTCTGRACGGTGCATCAGAGAGGAYTTGCAKGRAAAATCAGTCAAACCTTTTCCTCTTTGAGTATGTTGCGTGTCTTCTTCGTATGAGCCAGCGTGTTGTACATGATTTGCGGGAATTTGCCAGTTATTTGTGTACTTACCAAGGGTTGTTGGTTGCACTGCGTATATTCCTTTGGTTAACAACAACGATCACTGGTGGTAACAAAAATTCGAAACAATTCGGGGCTTGGTTCGACGCGTTTTTTTGCAATTTTTCGCAAATTTCTCTCGTTGATTCGCAAAATCGAGCGACTTTTTGGTCTCGCACGGATAAATTGGTCGTCAGGTCTCGTTCACATTTTGAGAATGCTGCGAACCACAGAAATAGCTGGCGTCTATTTTGGTCTCCCGTCGTCGGCGTCGTGACGTCGACGCTTGGCGATTCTTGCGACCGATTTTTACGATTTTCTGGATTGTGTTTGCCGATTTTGCAATTGTTCACTATTTCCGAAAACGATCGTGTTCAAGTGTGAGCCGTAGAAAAGGGATCGGTGGTTGGGCCAGTTTCGATTCAGCCAGCGTTTATTTGGGAACATCTACAGTTTGATGGCGTTGCTTTGTCTTTTCACTGCGTTGTGCTCCTCTGGCGTGTCTTGGATGTCTCGGGGATCTGGTTGCAGTCCTTCCTTAGCCAGGCTGGAGTTTATGTCGAGCGTCGGGTCTTCACTCCAGTGGGACCACGTTTGGATTTCACTGTAAAGAGCATCTCCTGGACATTCCGTGTCTGGAATTTAAAGATTCTGTTCTAAATTGCCTTTCAGCTGAGAAACACGTGTTGAAATGCATCTCTGGTAGATGAAGCGCGAAAAATTCGATCTCTGCAAGGTTTTACCTCGTGCTTGTCGGTGTCCGATCAGCTTGTAATTTTCCTGGATGAAACCGTTCCTTATTCCCATGTTGATCAGTTGCTTGACCGCTTGTAGCTGGCTCTCTGCAGGAAGGCGGTCTGGAATGTCCAGAAGACAAAAGCGTTAAACTAGCGGGGCAAAGGAAAAGTTCCAAATCGTTCATTAGTTGTCAGATCGGATCCGTGTAAACATTACTCATCATGTGGGGAGTGGATTTTTCTAAAGGAACGTCTATTCCGAGTGAACTTGACAAAGTTATAAATATCCGAAATAATAAATAATGCTTTCAGCCCACCTACGCAGGTCCGAGTCCAATTCGCGCAGTTCGCATGTTTATTTCGATTTTCCCAATTCTTCGCTTACTTGTTCAGAAACTGCAGTTTTTTGCTTCACTCGCGGGGGCAATTAATAGTAGTTTTCGGATACAAGAGCGAAAAACGGATTTTCGTGCTCGCATCGAACAATATTTTTTATTCGAATAAAGGACATAACAAGAATGATAAGTGATAATAAAAAAAAATGGTGTGCGTCACGGGACGCTCGACAGAAGTGATAACTTCATAAATTAATGAA